TTTAGTTTTCCAGGAATGATGTGGAAATCAAGAGATAACTTCCTGATCTGAAGCAAAAAGGGGTTGCTAATAACTAGAATCAACAGGCTATTTGTATTTTAATAACCAATACGGAGTTTGATTTTAATATAAGCTTATAAATCAATTTAATATGGCCCCATTCTTTCCTTACTTTAAGTACTTTTCTCATTTATTAAAAACATAACGTACAAGTTCCTGCTTCCGTATCCGATGCACACATCATAATTAATTCCATTTCATTGTTTACTTACAGATGGTACTTGAAAGTGAAAAAGGTGTAAACACCGAAAAACCACACGGACTTCCACAGAGGCCAGCAAAAAGCAAAAGTTAATGGTTTAAATATTTCCAGGGCACACACGCATCGTCCTTTGCCCCGTGTTTATCCTTGTGCAACAATGAACGTTGGGGCAGAAATCAGCGCCTCACTTTCACCAAAAATTCCACTTACTCTTCCCAAATTAATTTACGGCGCAGTTAAACATGCGAACATTTCGTTGGTAATTTTTATGGCAACAGGAAAGGGGAGAGATTTCCCTCTTTGCTGCAGGTTTTCATTACGGATGGAACAACGAATTTCGGCAACGCATTTCCCATCACAATTTCATCACTTTTAATTCGAGGCTCAATAAAAATCATCAGCAACCCATTTCCTGTTTGATGGACTCCCATTCGCTGAGAGAGAGTTTTATTCTCCTTCAAGAGTCTCGCGAGGAGAAGCATGAAATTCTCCATCGTAAAATTAAATTTCTCTGCAATTAATTTCGTTCTCTCTTGGCGAAGAGTTTGCTGGAATTTTTATCGCTGACCGGGAATAACCTTCGCATAGATTTCACTGCCCCCTTTTCTCCCTCCTCCCTCCTGAGTCTATTTTATTTTCTTTTAATTTATTTATCTTTTTTGAGAGTTTCCCTTGAAGTTGATTTTATGCTCCAGCTCACTCCGTCTCACTCGCTCTCTCTCCCTTTCTCTTTCTCCTTAACTTATGTCTGTTTTTGGTCGTTTTTCCTGTCGCCTCTTAATTGTGTTTAAATTAATGCCGAAAGGAGGGTACAGAGCTTCGATTTCTGTTTATCTTTGGCAATTTCAAGTGAAACTGAAATGAAATTTCCTTTGAAATTTATTACTACGGAAATTGAAGGAAGTTTACCAAGGACAAAGGCCTTGGGGTGTGTACTGAATCGGAATATATAGGAATTAGTTTGGCTAGTGAATGCATCAAAGTATAATAAAGTGTTTTCTATAAAATATAAGCTGCGAGAAAAATAAAGTTTATGGATAATTATCCAATATAAATACCTATAAATATTTATAATCCATTTATTGACCCCAGACATATTCAGCATTTGAACTCCGCCCGAGAGATCAGAGGCCCATTAAACTTTCTCCAAAGCACAAGAGTTTTCTATTTGTCCCTCGTTTTCATTCCCGATTTTTATCACGGGCACATTGAAAATTTACGAGTTTTCCCAGCGCATAAATTCTGCGCCGTTTGCCAATTTTTATTATCTGCAAAATACTTTATGCGCATCTGAGGGATACACGCGAGTGGGGAGCATCTAATGGATACATGAGCCCAAATTGAGACACTTTGCATAGACCAAAGAAATCATCGCCCCCTAAGCCTGAGTCCGGGAAACTTCACCCAAGGAAAAGCGTGGAAAATGAGCCAACAAATAATGATAAAAGGTGAAAAATGCACTTAGAAGAGGCGGAAGCAAAGAGAAAATACTAAGCGTAACTTATTATGGAGGCGGAGGAAGCAGAAAGGAAAACTTTCGCGGAAACTTCAGCTGCATGTGTTGCACACTTTGTGGCACTCCAAAAGAAAGCATAAAAAATGAGGAAAGAAAATATTGCGAAATTTCAGCTGCAAGTAAACAGGCAAAACTAATTTTTAATGCTCCTCCTAGGGAAGGGGAATCGACGACGGCAACTTTCTTCCTCCGATTGCAATGCAAAATGTTGTCACTTTGTTCCCTGACAGCCAGGATCATCAATCGCAGTGCCGTTTTTGTGTCTGCAAAGGATCCCTCAAAGGAAATATAATAAATACGAGCAGAGAAAAAGTTATTAAAAAAGTCTCTTCAAGGGACATTTTCGCATCCAATAAATTTTCAATTTCCGTCTTGAAATTTGCAATTTTCTTCTCACAACATCCTTCTGCCTTATGGGACACTTTCTGAGAGTTTTCCCTACACTTTTCACACAAGGTTATAAGAGTTTATCGAAGGACATAAATAGCCTGCAAATTGCATTGTCTGCACACAGAATTGCACATTATTAGGTGAGCGGGAAAAGGTAAACAACTGCCGGGATTCCCCCATAATCCTTTGACAAGAAAACAACTGGAAAAGTTCCCCTCCCGCAATAATAAATCTCGGCATTCTGTCAGCAATTTGATTTGATTTGCAGACTTTGCGAAAATATTTCATAAATATATACCCGAGTTTTTGTTCAACTTATTTAAACACTCTTTCCCCAGTTCTCCCTTCTTATCCAAGAGCGAACATTTCCAACTGGGAAAATATTTTTCGCGTTTTGCGTTTGTTTTTCTTTTGCTACTTTGTAGTGCAAATATTTTCGCACTTTGCTGTTCGTGTTTCCCTCGATTTTGCACTTCATTTGCCTCGGTGGCCGGTTCATGGCTGTTTGCTATTCTTTGATGTGCCAAATTGGTGCACCGATTGCATTCGAAATGAGATTTGATCGTTCTAAAATCGTGAGAAGGTTCTTCTGAACGGGGTTATGGAGATTCCAGCCCCCTGGGACCGCTTCCATTTGATTTTAACGACTTGCCAGCAAAGCTACTTTCCCGCAGGCACTGCGAATCCTTCTCCGAGTGAAACATTAAACTTTGCCCCATCAGAGGAATAAGGATAATAACAACATGGCGAAAGGATGTCAGCAGCAGGGAGTGACAGCGGGGATAATGGCCAAACAAGACATGACAGCAATAAGGAAAAACATTTTCAATAATTTCAGAGAAAAGGTTAAAGGAGCGACGGTTTTTTTTGGTCTTGCTTGTTTTTTGAGACATTTAAAATAATTTTAATAAAGGTCTAATGGAGCAGATAGAATCATTTTAGCATTATTATTTTTCATTATTATTATTGGTAACACCGAGTTATAATTTCAGTTCTTTCAATTTTGTATTTCTATAGCCTAGCAAAGTATTGTAATTGTAGTCAGAAGCTTGCAATGCGGTAAATGAGTCATTTCCGACCCCATAAATCTTGATCAGAATCAAAAACTAAATCAATCTATCTTTGTCAGGTTGAAAACAACAAACAAACACAACATTTTCTTTCTTAAATTTTATAAATAAACATATAAATATATCTTTATTTCATTTATCTAATTAACTCATTCTGAACTTACCCTTTAGCATCTCCCATTCTTATTTTTGTAGTCGCCCTTTTGTCAGCTTAACTTTGAGTTGGCAGGAGGAATCCCTTGGATCCCCTCATCCTTTTTTTATCCTCTAATTATGCGAGCTGAGTTGTGTTGCCTAATTGCAAGCGACTGCCTCCAAGGCGGCTTACGTGGCGTATACGCAACGTCTGCTTTTCTTTTTGCTTTGAGGTGTTGTTTTTTCGCGCCTTATTTTAAATTGAATCACGCACGTCTTTAGCGAGTTTAAAAGGAAAGAAAATATAAAGATGGGGAAAGGGAGAACACCAAAATGTGGCCTTTGACACTTGAATGCTGCGTTTAATCAGCGAATTAGGAGTGGAGGATGGCTCGGGGAATGGGGTACATTTTTCAGCTATTTTCCACCGCAAGTATGTCCCTGTTTTTCCCCTGCTGTGGCTTTTCACAGCTTGTGCAGAAGTTAGAAAACTCGTTCATGGGAAAATATGTGCCACAATTGGAGGCAATTTTGTGTTTAATTAAGCTGGAATTGCGAATGGTTAAAGCACAAGGGCAAAGAGCTAAAGGGGGTGAAGCCGCTCCACTCATTTTGTGATGCAAATTGGATGAGCCGCAGGAGGTCCAAACACCTGAAAGGATCTTCGTCTGCATTGTTGCCCTCTATTTACTCTCAGTTTGCTTGTTGTGGACAACAATTAAAAATTCAAACTGCAATTGTGTCGACAACTGCTCGTACTAATTGTAATTGCAAATCCTGAAGCGAATGTCCCCAAAAGGACTGGCAAAGCACAGCCCGAGGATGCGGCTTAGCTGCACTCAATTGTTATGAGAATGCGGTTTAACGACGAGAAGAAACTGCTCTGAGATATGTAAGTTAAATGGAACTAAATGAAAGAGCTGAGATTGTGGGTTCGCATTTTAACCCAAACAATGAATTTGGCTTACAGAAAGTGCCTGTTTTTAAGGAGTAAATACTTTTATAAATATTGTATTTAAATATATCCTCCTGGAATCCTTTGTCACTTTGCAAAAATCAAGCCTCAAAAATTACTTTTATTAATGAAAATGGCTATAAGGAAGGGCATTTGCTGGTGACACCTGCCAAAAGTTTACAAAAACAAATATTACTGCCACAAGGGGAAGGGAGTTGGAAAAGTGTTAACTTTGCAACAGTGTCAAAAACTGCAGGTACCCCGGGAAGCCAAGTTAAGGCCGCTTGAAAGTTTGTTGCGGCCATTAGGGAAAAGGTAAAAAATAATGATGGAAAATGCGTTGAATCGGGAAACTTATCTGAAGCTTACTTTGGTAAATAATAATAAAATACTTACTTATCCCTCTTAATTCCCCTATTAACTCAAACCATAACTCAAAGGTTACTGGCCTGATAGATCTTTTAAATTGTTTGTTTTTTAATTTTCCCTTTTGCTAGCATTAATGTAAGCCCTTATGTGTAATTTCCCAGCGGCAGGGAAAGTCATTTTCCTTTAACTAATAATTTCTGTATAATTAGATGGCTTATCAGTGCCACCGTAGTTTTTCTATTCCTCCATCGGATTGGCTTCGATGAGTTATTAGCCTGTCCCGACCTTATTACGCGTTCAGAAATGTTACAATCGAGTCGCTTTCGCCAGAAACTGGCGCGGTTTACTCTGAAGGCAACCCTTTATTTATCCTGGATACTCGGACTGTTTCCATACACCTTCGATCCGAGGAAAAACCAGTTGCAACGTTCCAAATGGCTTCTCGCTTATGGACTGTGTTTGAACATAATTCTGCTGGTGTTTTCGGTGCTGCCGGAAACCGATGACCACAATTCGATCAAGATGGAGGTCTTTGAGCGAAATCCGTTGGTCAAGCAGGTTGAATTTCTTGTGGAGATCATTGGCTTAATAACCACTGTGCTAACCCATCTAAGCATTTTCTATAGAAGCCAGGAACTAGCAGAGATCCTCAATGAACTTTTGCTGCTGGAAAAGAGTCATTTCAGGGAACTAAATCTTCGAGATTGCCACAAGTTTGACGAATATGTGATACACAAAGGACTGCTGATTATCCTGGAGATCGGTTCCTCCCTATTGATCTACTTCGGGATACCGGAAAGCAGATTGATTGTGCACGAGGCTTTGTGCATCTATTTAGTCCAGCTGGAAGTACTCCTTGTGGTGATGCACTCCCACCTGGGAGTGATCTATATATATCGCTTTGTATGGATTATCAACGGACAGCTCTTACACCTGGCCAATCAGCTGAGAAGGGGTCAGAGGGCAGACCCGGAAAGGGTCCAGCGGCTCCGCTGGCTCTACGGCCGCCTTTTGGAACTGAACAGTCGCCTAGCCTTCATTTACGACATCCAGGTCACTTTTTTCATGGGCACTCTGATGTCAGCTAATATCATTATAGGCCATGTTCTGGTCATCTTTTGGATCAACATAAAGAGATTCGACTTTTGGATTATGGTTCTGATCTTTCCACAAGCCTTAGTCATTAATTTTTGGGATCTTTGGCTTTGTATTGCCTTTTGCAATTTGGCTGAGAATGCGGGCAAAAATACATCGACAATCTTGAAGCTATTCAATGATATTGAAAATATGGAAGGAGAACTGAAGCAAACGGTAAGGTGAAAGGAAATACCTTGTATAATGACTTATCGTCGATTATTTTTCTGTTTCAACAGATCGAAGAGTTTAACTTATTTTGCAGTCATCGCAGACTAAGGTTACGCCATTGCGGATTGTTTTACGTAAACTATGAGATGGGTTTCCACATGATCATCACGAATATTCTATATGTGGTCTTTTGGTGCAATTTGATTATATGAATTTAAAATTCAAGTAAAGATAATCTATTATTAAATTATATGTAGGCAATCAATGTATTTACAACTTGTTAATGCTTCTTTTAAATAAATCTTGAAATTGTGATATCATTTATGTCTTTACTAAACGTTTCCTATAAGAAGTACTTAAGAAATGAGCTGCTATTTAAATGCCTTTTCGATTGATAATTCACCATCAATTTAATAAACCTAAAAGGGTTTGCTTAGATGCGTTAACTTGAACAACAATCTAAGTTCATTTCGCTTCGCTTCTAATAATTATTTCTTTTTTTTCTTACCACTTCCCCTCATTTGTTGGCCAACTGTTGGTGGTGTTAGAAATGTTTCGACCACGTCGCGGCTTTTGTCAGAACTGGGCTTGGTTTATCCTGAGCTCTACTTTATACGGATCTTGGATACTCGGACTATTTCCGTTTATATTTAATTGCCGGAAAAAACAATTAAGTTTGTCCCGATGCCTTCGACTCTACGGTTTAATTTTAAACTTCTTCCTGCTCTTCATACTCATATACATCAGTTTTGAAACTGAAAAGCCTTCTAAGCTAGAGGCCTTTGAGCGGAATCCTTTGCTGGAAAAGATAAATATTCTTATTGGAATAATGAGTGTCATCTCAGCCATCGTAGTGCACTTGATGAACTTCCTGAGGAGCAACCAGATTCTGCGGATAATCAATGAACTGTTGGCTCTAGAGTATCGTCACTTTGGGGCCATGAACTTGTGGAATTGTCCCAAATTAAATTGTTTTGTAATCCAAAAGAGCGTGACTATCATAGCAGTGATGTTAACTCTCATGGGAGTCCACCACGCAATGCCAGGAAATATAACAAACTTCTGGACATCTCTACTCATGTGCTTGACCCAGGTGGGTCTCAACCTTAAAGTGCTGCATTGCTATCTGGGCGTACTATTTATCTACCGAAATGTGTGGTTGATCAATGGACAACTCCTGGAACTGGTCCATCAATCTATCCCCATGACGGACTTAATATCCGCCAGGATTCGAGAACTTCTCTCTATATACAGACACCTCTTGGAGCTTAATAAGAAACTGCAAACGGCTTACGAGTTGCATATGACGCTTATTTTACTTTCTGGGTTTGCTGGCAATATTGTGGTTGTCTTTTTCCTAATCGTGTTCGAATTCAGTATGAATAAGCCATCCATTTTTTTAGTGGTATTTATTCATTCTTTGTTGCTGAATATTTGGGATTTTTGGCTTAGCATTGTTGTTTGTGATCTCACAGAGAAAACCGGCCAAGAAACCTCTGCAATCCTGAAATTATTCTGTAATGAAGAGAACCTCGATGTAGAGCTGGAAAGAAATGTAGGTATAATAAACACGATCTTTGTCACGATTAATATTGCATTTCTTAATCCACAGATAAATGAGTTTGCATGGCTTTGCAGTCACGCCAAGTTTCGCTTTCGATTGTTTGGCATGTTTTCGGTTAACTACAATATGGGTTTTAATACGATCATTACAAGTTTTTTGTATCTGCTTTATTTAGTTCAGTTTGATTTTAAGAACTTGTGAAAGGTACTTATATATAAAGTAAATAAATAGACAAAGGAAACTAAACAGAAACTTTGGTTTATATACCTTTGGAGCTTGCAATCGAATTTTGAGATCGAATCCAATATTAATCATAACTAAGTTCACATTCATCTAGTAACAAGCTTCTGACTAAATTTAGAATACCCAGCAAGGGTATACAAATTAGTACAATCAAGAGTGATTTATTTCGCTGTAAATTTTAGCATGATGATAAATAAAAAAAATCTAAATCTAACGAAGACTGCCTATTTTTATTATTGGTTCCCAGTTCTTGATTATTCCATCAGCTTGTATTAATGTTTTCCTAAGGGATACTTAGATATTCATAGGTAAATGGATTAAACTTTTATTGATTTATAGTGTGGTGGCTAATAAGAAAGTATCAAGTTGGCAGTCGGTGAAAGATGTTCCGGGTTCGTGCTGGTTTTCGTCCAAAACTGGTCTACTTTATATTGAATTCAATTCTGTACAGTTCATGGCTGCTTGGCATATTCCCCTTTATTTACGAGCCCCAGAAGAGGAGATTGCATCGCTCTAAATGGTTACTCCTCTATGGATTTGTACTGAACTCAGGTTTGCTTTTCCTCATGTTAAAACATGAGGGAGAGACTAAAGGAAACGAGGGAAAATTGGATGTATTTGAGAGGAACTTTGTGCTGAAGCAAATCAGTTTGCTGTTGGGAGTAGTTGGAGTCCTGGCCATCTGCACAATTTACGTGCGAACCTTCTGGCGAAGCAAGAATCTGGAAAGTATATACAATGAACTGATGCAACTGGAAAGGAGATACTTTTACTCAAACGCAGTGAAGTGCCAGACATTCGATGCCTATGTGATTCAGAAGGGACTCCTGATAGTCGGAGGAGTGGCATCCTCAATTGTGGTGCACTTTGGAGCACCCACTCAATCGCTGCCCATAAGTTATCTCATTGTCGTAACACTGATCAAGTTGGGAACATTCCTTCTGGCCATACACTTTCACCTTGGAGTGGCCTTCATCTACCGTTTTTTGTGGTCCATCAATAGGGAACTCCTCGACTTGGCTAGTTACTTGAGGGTTCATCCATCCGGAGGCTCATCCCGAATTCGCTTGCTCCTTAAACTCTACAGGGAGCTGGTGGATCTCTACGGAAGATTAACTGATTGCTACGACTATCAGACAGCCCTGATGATGATCGTTTTTCTGGCAGCCAACATCATCGTGTCCTTCTATATCATTGTCTACACCGTCAGTTTAAGCAAGATGTCCTTCTTTGCGATGGTGATTATGTTTCCTCTGGCTCTGCTCAACAATTTCCTGGACTTTTGGCTCAGCATTGCCATGTGTGATTTGGTGGAGAGAACTGGTAGACAAACCTCCATGATCCTGAAGTTGTTCAATGACATCGAGAACATGGACAAGGCACTAGAAATGAGTGTAAGTCGAAAGCTTTTTTATATATTATTGATATATATTTACGTATTCCAGCAGATCTCCGACTTTGCTTTGCTCTGCAGCCATCGGCGATTTAAATTCCTTCACTGCGGTCTATTTTATGTAAACCGTGAGATGGGCTTTCAAATGCTCGTCACTAGTTTCCTGTACTTGCTTTTCCTCGTGCAGTTTGACTTCATGAACTTGTAACTCTCCGGGCCGCTTAGTGGGGACTTACCTTAAAGCTCTCACTAAATCCCTTGCCATGAGCTGCAATATTGAGCAGGTGACATCATGGCAATAAAAGCTGAATCACAGGCCCTGCAAACCGATGTCGTCAAACGAGTAAAGTGAATGACTTGCTGCTGGAAAATGTGAGGGAAAATCGAAACGGGGCCGCAGGGTGGCAATATAAACACACTTCTTTGCCATCCTTTCTGCATCAAAGGAGGTTGTGCCAGAAGTCAAGGGGGCGAAGAGCATACAAAGTCACAAGGAGTGTGAGCAATGGAGTGGCTATAAAGAAGAAGTGCAATTAAGGCCAGCAACTGAACGATTTTTTTGCCTTCTGTACTTTCTTTTACACCAAAAGTATTCCCTTTTTCATTTGTTTTTAGCGAACAATGGAATCTGATTACATGAGAAGCTTACTGACCAGGTTTTGCTTTGTTTGTTCTGGTAATTTCACCTACACAGTAATAGCATAAAATCAAATAAATATTAAATTAACCAGAATATGTAGAAAATTGTTCAGTAAGTTTATATTTAAACCTACTTGACCCTAAATAAATATATAGTAGCTTAATAAAATTTTTGTCAGCAATCAAATTAAATACAAACTATTAGATTTTCTTGCTGCTTTAATTTATTTGTAAGTGTTCTGTTATATTCTTAAGCCCAAAAATATATAATTTAGAGTAAATCACCTTTATTTTTCCAAGTGATCCAATGATTTTCTCTGTCTATATATCCCCGTTTGATTTATGCTTATTTTTCTATCTTTTTCCATTATTCGTTTGTCCAGACATTGGCAACATTTATGCCGCGTAAATGCAGAAAACTACAACTGACAGGCAACAATTAGGCCAACAATGCGAGAACAGGGAACAAAAGTCAAACAAAAGATTCCCACACACACACCCAGCAGACACTGGCAGGTCCTTCGTCCTTGGCTGTCAGGTACAGACCCCCACGGTCCTTTTTCGCCCTTCGTCAAGGGACCCCCATTATCTTCGATTATCGAGAGCACAAAGCCAGCACAAACGATAGCAGGCAGGCTCAGCACACACAGGCCACACTCGACACAATCGCGTAAATTGATTTTTATTATCCTGTGCAGGCAGGAGAGCACTCCGCGGCACCCCCTTGGATATCCTCGAGATTCTGGCAAATTTCCTGCTCATCTGCACAGCAAGCAAACAAAATAAAAACTGAAGTGTACACAAGCATTTGATTTATTGCCCTGGCCCAGGACATCCGCCAATTGTTTGGGCCACGTGGAAGCCTCCAGGACGCCCCACTCCCCGCTCCCCCCCACAGGTCGATCCTTTGTTTACACAATAAAATGGCAGGAGTGGAGCCGGAGCATTAGGTCAACATTCCCGCTGTTAGCAACTCGTCAACGCGTTCGGGATAATTCGATTCGCTCATCTCGATTTCTGCCAGCTTTCAATATATTTTTATTAAAATGACAGCATCTGGTTATCGCCTCTGCTGAGCTTCGCACATTTCCATTTTCATTTCGGGCATTTTCCGGGCGAGCAGAAAATTTCATAAAAATATTTTCGTTTTATGATGATTTGCCCTGTCAGCAGAAAATAGGCTCATAACAACTTTTTCCTTGTAGTGATAAGTTTGCTAATATTTTCCAAATTTGCTTTCACATTATTTGATCATCTCTTTTATTGCATCGATTTTTTGTGTATTTTTTATGGGAATGATACAATAAAATTTATGGAAAATAATCAATATTATTTGTTTTGCAAAGGCGTTAAAAATATATTATATATTAATTCTGACAATGTATATAACAAATACAAATTGATTTAGATTTCGACTCATTTAAATTTAAAAATATATATTTCTATTTTTATTTTCTCCCCCCTAAGATAAAGAACAATAAAGACTCTTTGGATAATCTGTTTTGAAAGTAATTTAAAGTTTTCTTTTTCCTGCTCCCATTTTTATTATCATCCCAAAACTTGTCGCCCATCCAAGTTTAATTTAAGTTTCGCCAAACGCAATTTTCTATAGTTTCAATATTTAGTCAGACTTTCCACTAATTGCTCGGCTCTCTTGGCTGCGTTCCATTTTCTCGCTTTTCCTCCTCCACGGGATTTTCCATTTTAGCCGGCGACACAAATCGGCTTTGCCCGTCTCTGAATTGTTGTTTAAACTGCCAGCAACTTGCAGCAAATTGGCAATTATTTAATTTCGCAAAAGTTTTCTTTCAAGGAGGCCAGGCCCAAACTTTCGAGCCGAGTTTCCAGCCCCGATCGGCTTATATAAATTGCGGGCTGGAGGCCCGCAAAATTCTAACGCATTGCCAAACTAATTAAGGCAGCCGCGGCGAATCAATAGAACAATTGGCGAACATTTATCGTAATTAGAGAAAAGGGTTTGGGGCTCGGCAGGTTCCTTTCATTAACTGCTTTCCTTGAAGTTCACAATTTGCCTTGGGGAGGGGGGAAGTCAATCAAATGTATAGCCCCATTTTGGGGTTGGTGGAAAACATATAAATTTAAATTAAAAATCTGCTGATAAACTTTGACCTTTCACTTGCAGCCCCTTGGCAATCCTTTGGGTCATTGGGCGTCCTTTTTCCGAGGCACAAATGAAGCCAAAAGAAAAACTTTGGACCGCCCCTCTAATTACAATAAATGGTCAGTCAGCTCAATTTCGTGGAAAGCCTGGCGGCAAATTTTAATTAATTTACGAAACAAATTAGAAATTGAGGTGAGACAAGGGTGAGAGCATCGAATTAAACTTTTATCTGATTAAGGAAAGAAATACCCAACCTTTTATACAATTTTTATAAGCAAAGAAAACATTAATTGTAAATGACTAAATAAAGATAGGTATAAAAACATACGATATACACTCATTTGGATAATTTGAAATCTATAACATATCATTTAATGTGGGCTATAACAAAACATAATATGGATAGCCTTGAGTGATTTTTATACTCTCATAAAATAATGGCAAGGCAAATAAATAAATTCCGCCAGACAAAAACAGGATAGCAAGAGTAAAGAGGAGAAATTATCGAGGAAATTTACGATCCTGCGATGGTACATTTTGGCGAACTGATGCGTCCATCCGGGTTTTTATGGTGCAAACAAAGCAATGAACAATTTGCGCGCATTCCGGATAAAGCCAATAAATCAAATATATTGGCCAGGCCGAAGGGAACAACGCGGGTAAAGTGCGGCGCCCCCAAAACAATTGGCTGAAAGTTTTTGCAGAGCCAAGCAGAATTTGGTAAGGGAATCGGTATTGGTATATCGCTGAAGTGGCCAAAAAGGGGGATGCTGGAGTGGCGGATTCAGGATAATAAAAATCAAT